ATTGTTTTTAAATGGCATCTAATCTTTTGACAGATCTATCTCCAGATCCTTCAGCTAGCACCCAGTGACTTGATATAATTGAACTATTTCTGATGAAATGAATTGAAGGACTCAGAGGAGAGATCAAGGGCCACATATAAAGCCACACATAAAGCAGTTTAATCCTTGCTTTGTTCTGTTTGGTAACTTCACAATGCCAAGTGGTTTAAAAAAAAAAAAAAAAGGGCTATTTTTACAAAGGGAGAAGATCTTGAGACTATGAGGGCTGGAGACTAAGAGGGTTGGAGAGTTGGGGGAAGAGGCAGTAGAGCACGTATCTCCAGAATGGCCTTTTAAAAACATAAATCAGATCATGTCATTCCCTAGTTTAACACCTTCCAACGGTCTCCCTTCCAACCAGTCAAGTCCAAACTCCTCCTAATGGCCTTCCCTTCCTTTTCCTTGTTCATCCCTCACCTGCCAAGCTGGCTTCTTGCTACTCAAACATGCTAAGCTCCTTCCCACCCCAGGGCATTTGCACATTCTTCCATCTGCCTGGTTCACCTCCTGCCTTATTCTCATTTACCATTTGGGGTCTGCCCAAAAGTCACTTTTTCTAGGAGGTCTTGCTTCACCTTCATTTGTGAACATTGGCTTCCACTCCCTTCTCTAATTCAAACACTCTGTAATCTGCCCTTGCTTCGTTTTTCCATGACTTATCTCCATCTGAAATTATATGAATTCTTTTTTGCTTATTTTCTACCTCCCTGACTACAACATAAGCAGAAATTGAGGTGCCACATTACCCTTGGAAAAATTAGGAAATAATAAGGAGGGTTAAGTACCCAGAGAGAGCAGCAAGGATGGGCTAAGAAAAAACTTAGTATGTAGAATAATTTTAAATAGTCATTACTTAAGGCAGAAAAAGAAAACACATTTCAGAAGCTGTAGAAATGTCCTGGAGGAAGTACACTAGGAGTGAAATTAAATGGTCAAATAAGGGAAAGCTATTAATTAGTACCTATGAGATTTTCTTTCTTTTCATTCTAACTGGGATTTGCAATTTATACATAAGAAGTTACCAATATCTAAGTAAATTATATAGTCAGAGGAGAGAAGTGAAAATAGATATCAGCTAGACAACAGTAAAGTCTAATTATATCCAATATGGTGAAATATTAAATATGATAATTTCCAGGCTTTTCAAGTTGAACAAAATCTCGTATCTGGCACTCTCAGACGTTGTTGCTTCACAACCTTGAGAGTTCCCCTGGTGAAAAGAGACCTGGTTCCTGGCCCAGAGAGCAAGGAGGAGAGATGGAAGAAAGGCCATTGCAGACTGGAAGGTGGCCATCTCAATAAGCAAGGGAACTTACTTACCAGGCTTATCTTGGGCAGCTGGGAAATGAGTAGATGTCCACACCTGCCTTCCAGAATCTTAAAAGTTTATATAGAGACCTGCACTGAGTTCAGTCACAATTTAGCCCAGATGGTCTCAACAACATGTGGCTTTCTCAAAGAAGCGTCCTTGAAAATGGCTCTGGCTGTGGGAATAACCAGCGAAGTGGAAGGTATATTCCAAGGATGGGGAACAGGTGAGCAGCCTGATAGCCCAGGTGTAGCTCATAGGTCAACAGGCGGTCACATCCTCTTGACACCTTTCAACAAACACACATTTATTAGTGTGAATACGAAGTGTTGCAACTTTTTTTGTATTCACAAACATGAGTATGTTTATTTAAAACTGAATAGGGGGGGCGCCTGGGGGGCGCAGTCGGTTAAGCGTCCGACTTCAGCCAGGTCACGATCTCGCGGTCCGTGAGTTCGAGCCCCGCGTCAGGCTCTGGGCTCATGGCTCAGAGCCTGGAGCCTGTTTCCGATTCTGTGTCTCCCTCTCTCTCTGCCCCTCCCCCATTCATACTCTGTCTCTCTCTGTCCCCCAAAAAATAAATAAAGGTTGAAAAAAAAAAAAACTTAAAACTGAATAGGAACCTATTCTGTCAGAAAGTTTATTCTTTTGTTGTAGCATAATGTTACATGAGTTTCAGGTATACAACTCTGTGTACTATGCTATTCTCCCCACAAGTGTAGCTAAAAATGGTGCAATTTATGAAGAATAACATGGCAATAGACAGCTATCAATCCCACTTTTAAGAATTTATTTCACAAATACACACATTTGCACAAAGATGTAAGGAAGTTGCTTTCAGGATTAATTGTAATAGTGGGAAACAACAAAAGGTCCATCATTTAACTTGGTTGATAAGTTGTGATGATTCCTTATGTAAGATGCAATAATTAGGTCAGGTAGAAATGGAATGGAATTATATCAAAAATAAATTATTTTTTTTTCAACGTTTTTTTTTTAATTTATTTATTTTTGGGACAGAGAGAAACAGAGCATGAACGGGGGAGGGGCAGAGAGAGAGGGAGACACAGCATCGGAAACAGGCTCCAGGCTCCGAGCCATCAGCCCAGAGCCTGACGCGGGGCTCGAACTCACCGACCGCGAGATCGTGACCTGGCTGAAGTCGGACGCTTAACCGACTGCGCCACCCAGGCGCCCCCAAAAAAATAAATTATTTTTAAAAAGCAGTTTGCAGAAACAGGCACAGTGTAAATTGTAAAAATAAAGATTGAATGCACAGGGAGGTATGCACAGAGAAAAATGAAAGAAAACATGGAATATCTCAAAGGTTTTGATTCCTCTGGGCAGTGGCACTAGGAGATAAAGAACTTTTACTTTTCACCTTATATCTTTCTGCATCATTTGGATTTGTTTACTGTAAGTAAGTATTGTTTCATAATGGAATACTAGCTAATAGAAAGAGAATAGCAGGGAACTGCATGTGTGATCTGACTCCTGCTTAGTTCCTATATTGCCATTTATCTACCTTCACAAACTCACCTATTCACATACAATTCACTCTTTTCTTTCCAGCTTTATTGAGATATTGCTGGCATATAACATGGTATAAGTTTAAGGTGTACAATACTATTTAACACATATATATTGCAAAATGATTACCACAATAAGCTTAATTAATACATCCATCACCTCACATAATTACTTTCTTTTCTGCAATTCTACTTCTGGGTATATATTTGAAAAAAAAAATGAAATCACTATCTTGAAGAGAAATCTGTACCCCTATGTTCATTGCAGCATTATTCACAATAGTCAATACAAGGAAACACCTAAGCATCCAGTGATTGATGAGTGGATAAAGAAGATGTGGTAAACATTTACAATAGGATATTATTTAGCCAGGAGAAAGAAGAAAATCCTGTCATTTGTAACAACATGGGTGGACCTTGAGGGCATTATGTTAAGTGAAATAAGTCAGACAGAGAAAGACAAATGCTGTATCATCTCACTTATATGTAGAATCGAAAAAAGCCAAACTCAGAGAAACAGTAGGGTGGTGGTTGTCAGGGACTTGGGGGGTGGGAGAAATAAGGAGATGTTAGTCAAAAGGTATAAACTTCCAGGTATAAGATGAATAAGTTCTGAGGATCCAATGTAAGTGTGGTTACTATAATTGATGATACTGTATCATATACTTCAAAGTTGCTATGAGAGTAAATCCTAAATGTTCTCCCTGCATACACCACTTGCTGGGACAGAAACATCATCTCCAGAAACATCAGCTCTCCACCCAGACCTAAAATTCCTTTAAGACTATATGCACAGATGCAACCTCATTTTAGCAGTTGTCCCTGACCTCAGAAAGCTGAGCTGGTGTGCCTCTTCATGTGCACCTCCCAACTACCCCTGGCTGACCCACCACACTGCCCACCCCCCTAAAAGTTGTGGCTATATCACTTTTATGCAATCATGAGAATCTCAGTATGCACGGCTCTTTCTTGAAGGAGTTAAAGTTTGCATCCCAAACTTCAGACACTTCTCCGCAGAGGTTTTTAGGAACATCCTGTGTGGGAGGGAATACTGTCTTGTCTTTACAGGTGAAATGTCCTATGAGCCCTTTAAAGCGAGGATCATGTCTCTATAATCCCCAAATCTATCCCTCAGGCACACAGTAGGCTCTCAATAAATACTGGTAAAAGGAAGACTTAAAGCTCATGTTGAAAAAAAAAATCTGGAAACCTGCTTAAAGTATTTGCATTTTAAAAAAGAATAGCCCATCTTTCAAAAGAAATGTTCTAGCCCCTCAGAGAGAGCTGCCTGTCTGGTGGGGCAGATGTGGCCTCCTTCACATAAGCTTAGTGCTAATTCCCAGAGCCTGGGCTTAAGAGACTACAGAGCACTGCTCTCTTTAACTCAGGTGGCCCAAGGACATTTGATTGAATGATTATCTAGACATGTAGGGTATAATCTGCCTCAGGGTTGAAATCTCCAGTTAGCAGGAATTCCCAAGGTGTCAGTATTAATGGTCACAAAAGGACCTCAAATGAATACAGGAGAAAATGGCTTATTAAAGGGTTAGAGAGGGAGGGAGCCAAAACATAAGAAACTCTTAAAAACTGAGAACAAACTGAGGGTTGATGGGGGGGTGGGAGGGAGGGGAGGGTGGGGTGATGGGTATTGAGGAAGTCACCTGTTGGGATGAGCACTGGATGTTGTATGGAAACCAATTTTGACAATAAATTTCATATTTAAAAAAAGCAACTGTTTCACCATAAAATAAATAAATAAATGTTTAAAAATTTAAAAAAAAGATAATGTAGATCCATATTGGTTGTCATCTTTGAATCTTCTTTTATTCTACTCGTCAACGTATTCATCAAGTTCTTTTGATTTTGTTCATCCTACATATATTTTTTAAATGTTTATTTTTGAGAAAGAGAGCACAAGCAGGGGAGAACCACAGAGAGAAGGGGACAGAGGATCCAAAGTGGGTTCTGCTCTGACAGCAACAAGCCCAATGCACGGCTTGAACTCATGAACCATGAGACCATGACCTGAGCCAAAGTTGGATGCTCAGCCAACTAAGCCACCCAGGTGCCTACCCCCTACACATTTTTAAATATGGCCCTCCCCCTTTACCCCAGCTCCTTACCAAGACTTCACAGTGTCCCTGTGATCAGGATCCTCTAGAACAATATTCTGGCCTCTTCTCTTGCAATTCCCTGACTTCATCCATTCTTCCATTCATTCAGCAACGATGACTGATCATAAACCATGTGCCCTGGGTCCTCAGGGAGCTGAGTCTATAACAATAAGCAAGACAGGTAATGTCTTTGCCTTCAGGAACAATGTTTCAACCACTACAAACTGCTTCCAACTTAGCCCCTTAAGGGCCAACTGCCTAAATTCCCCTCCACCTGGTTAACCCTTAACTGTTTCATGCCTCACCTCCTCCAGAATACCTTCCAGAATTCCCACATGCTGTGTTAAGTGACCCTGTGCTGCATTTCTAAGGTGCCTCCTCCATCTGGCAGGAAATAAGCCACACATTTAGTGAGGGCACCCAGGGAGGCCCTTAATAAAGTAACTGTTTACAAATTTGGCCAGGGTCAAGAGATACGAAAGGATAGCAAAGCCCTGAGGCTAGTAACACCAGAGAGCTGTCATCTCCTCCTAGGACTGGACCAGCAGGGGAAGAGGCAATTACCAAAACCTTGAGAAATCAGTAAAATTATAAAGGAGGACCAATCACTTAACAGAAGCTGTGCGCGTAAGTAAAAGAACTCATATAACCTATGATAACCAGGAGAAAAGCCAAGGAATGCCTCAACCTGATTGCCCTCCCTCCCTCCAATCTCTTGCTAGTGCTTTCCTTTGCCCAAACCCCACCTGGAGCCAGAGGGTAAGAAACCTTCTGATTTATTCATGGGGCTCAAAGCATGATGGAAAAGGGAAGAGAGTATAACTGGAAGGGCAAACAAAACATCCAACGCAATTTCACTCATTGTGCTTACATGATATAATGGCTTTCCCAACTGAACTGTCACTTTGATGGAGAAGACTCAGGCCTCTTTGATGTCGGAATTGAGATGTGTGTTAAGTTCATCAACCACATGAATAAGATACAATTAGAGCTGTCTTCCAACCTCCTTTAATCCTTTCCCTTTGTCTCTACTCTGAAAAGAAAAAAAAAAAAATGGAAGCCACTGAAATGCAGCTCTACTGCCTTCACATGAAAACACTCCGTCTATGCTTCATTGGGTTGAATATACTGAAGAATTTTTTTTAATTAGATATGACCCTTCTGGGCCACAGAGTGACTGTGTGCATACACTGCATACTCTGATCAGCATTCCCAAGTCCTAGAAGCTCAAAGGTCACCCAGCCAGGACTTCTGTCCTGTCAGAGGAATGGTGGGGATCTCAGTACTCAGCCCACCTGCCCCAGTGTGGCCAAAACTCCAGTGGCAGCCACCTGGGCCATGAACATCCTTGCTCTCTTAAAAAAAAAAAAAAAAAAAAAAAAAAAAGGATTGAGGGTTGAAAGCCTGTTTTCAAGGCAGGTTTTAAAATAGCACATGATGAACACATATTACAAGAAAATATTGAAATCTCTGATGTCTCATGAGAAAATCAAAGGAAATGTTCACCACTAGCATATTTGATATTACTGAGCCCCTTCTTCAGGCCAGCAGTGTGGGTAAGAATCAGGATGAGATCTGAGCTCATCTAATTGCTGAAGACATATGCTGCACCACAAGCTCAGCTTGTCCCTTTTAAGCTCATTGTTTTTACCAAGTAAGTTCTTTTTCCTCTCCAGTGCTGCTTAATTTAACCACAGATTAGAATTCTAAGCCCTCTGGGAATGATCAAAACTCTCCTCCACCATGATGTTTCATCCAAGGGAGTTAAGGCAAAGGGAATGTGTTTTTTCCCAGGGTCTCCCATAGTTCAAGAAAATTTAATCACATTCACTCCTTTGACATCTTCTTAAAAGTCCCTTCAGAAGCTTCCCAGAACTTGGCCCCCAAAACTGATCTGAGTTTAAACAGGCTTAGTGAAGGGCAGTTTTTGCCCCCACCCTAGTGTAACAGGTTTACCAAGCACCCCCATAGGGGTTGAGAGCATTTCTGTAAGGCAGCCTCCTTGCAGAGGTGGCCTTTTCAGACCTAAGGCTCTCTCTTTTGCAGTTATTTTGATTTCTGTAATGACCCACCTGCCTGATGCTAATAATCACTCTGTGTGCTCCACCCACATAACATTCTCTCCAGTTCAGGAATCTAAGCTTCCTTTATGTTCTAGATGAAAACTCCACATTTGTGTGAGTTAAAACCATGCTGATTCAACTCAATAGACACCAACCAAGTGTCTTCCATGTACAAGACATTTGGTGAGAATTTGGGGGAAGGACACAGAAGAGTAAGACACAGTCCCTTCAGACAATTTACAAATGACTTGTGTTGAGCAAGAGAAGCACAAATACTGAGGAAGAGGTAAGTGACTAAGAGAGGGGGCAGAAAGAAGTGGTATTTCAGCACGAGAAAAAAAGAGGTCCCTTCCAGCTGGAGCATCTCGCGAGGGGCTTCCCAGGCGAGGGAGAATTTTCTATGGTCCCAGAAGGGTGTGGGCAAGTTCCAGGAACAGAAACTACTACAAGCAGAGACAGCAGTGGCATCATGAACAAATGTCTCCTCTACTAACCTGATTCAGGCATCCATTTGTTCATGCAATAAGCATTCATGACATGCCTAGAATGCCTGCACTGAGGATATAAAAACAAGTAAGAGTAAGACCTTTCACTACCAGTTTACAGGCTGGTAGGGAAGGAGAGGTAAACAGTAGTTGCTATACTAAGGGATAAGTACAATCATAGAAATTCAGCCCATGGTGGCCAAGAGAGATCCCCTCTAAATGGAGAGAAAGTCTCCACAGAGGGAGAGCCATCTGAATTGGATCTGGGAGAATGAGTACATGCTTGATAAATAGGCAAAGAGGCAAGGTATTTCTGGCAGAAGGAAATGCAAAGACATGGACACGGGAAATGACATGGGATACCAAGAAACTGCAAGCCTTCTAGCCTGGCTAAAACACAAGTTTCATGAAAGGGAATGGCAAGGAAATGAGGTAGAGGGTCAGGCATGAACATAATCCACAAGGTCCTCTTATGATGGCCCAAGAAGTTTCAAGTTTTACCTGTGAGATATGAACCTGAAGAAAAGCACTAACCGGATCTGATTTACATTTAGAAGAAGTCAAGAAGCTCTAGAGAGGATAAAGTATATTGTCTGGAGAGGGAAGAATAGGAGAGAATTGCATGGGTACAGGCAGGAGGTGATAGCGGCCCAAGCTGAGTCAGCTGCTGTGAAAATAGACAAAAGAAAGAATGAATTAACAAAGTGCAATGATTCTTCAAAAAGGTAAAGTAAAGTGAGCACTCGAGATGCCCAATGGATTTGGAAATTAGAAAATCCTTAGTAACCTGAGCTCAAACAGATTGGGTTTTTTTTTCCAATTTGGAAAATGTATTTTTGAGATTTTTATTAAAGTTTAGCATGCACACCAAGAAGTACACATAAATTTACAGTGTGAACACATTCACATAACCAGGTTAAGAAATAGAACAATACCAATACCCAAAACCTCCCCTTGGCCCATTGCACTTATCCTGCCAACGATAAACATTAGCCTGACTTCTAACACTATACATTAGCTTCTCTATTTTTATAACCTTTTCAAAAAATTTTTACTTACTTTCTAATTGAAGTATAATTAAAGTACACTATTATATTACTTTCAGGTGTACACCAATTCTATAAATTACTCAGTGCTCACCATAATAAGAGTATTCTTAATCCCCTTTATCTATTTCACCCATGTTCCCACACACCTCCCCTCTGGCAAACACCAGTTTCTTCTCTGTATTTAAGAGCATGTTTGCTTGTCTCCTTTTTCCTTTGTTCATTTGTTTTGTTTTGTACATTCCACATATAAGAGAAATCATTACAGTATTTGTCTTTCTCTGACTTATTTCACTTAGCATTATACCCTCTGGGTCCATCCATGTTGTTGCCAATGGTAAAATTTCATTCTTTTTGTGGCCATTTAATATTCCATTGCATATATATACACCAGATTTTTTTTATCCATTCATCTATGGATGAACATTTGGGTTGTTTCCATATCTTAGCTACTGTAAACAATGCTGCAATAATTTTCTTTTTTTGTAGTGCCTTTGTCTGGATTTGGTATCAAGGTAATGCTGGCCTCATAGAAAATTTGGAAGATTGTCTTCTCTTTTTCTGGAATAGTTTGAGAATCGGTGTGAACTCTCCTTTCAATGCTTGGTAGAATTCACCCATGAAGCCATCTGGTCCTGGACTTTGCTCTGTTGGAAGCTCTTTGATTACTGATTACTTGTTAGTAATGGGTCTCTTCAAATTTTCTACTGTCTCCTGAATCAGTTTTGGAAGGTTATTTGTTTCTAGAAATTTATCCATTTGTTGTAAATTGTCCAATTCCTAGAATATGATTTTTTATTCTCTTATAATATTTTGTATTGCTGTGGTATTATTTCTCTACCACTTCTTTTTTCCCTTTTCAAATTTTTATTTAAATTCTGGTTAGTTAACATATAGTGCAGTATTGGTTTCAGGAGAATTCAGTGATTCATCACTTACATACAACACCCAGTTGCTCATCATAACAAATGTCCTCCTTAGTACCCATCACCCTTCTAGCCCATCTCCCACTCACCTCCCTCCATCAACTCACAATTTGTTCTCTGTCACTAAGAGTCTCTTGTGGTTTGTTTCCCTCTCTTCTCTTCCTCTGCTTTCCTAGATGTTTATCTGCTTTGTTTCTTAAATTCCACATATGAGTGAAATCATATGGTATTTTTCTATAATTTTTCTTAGCATAATACACTTTAGCTCCATCCATATCACTGCAAATTTCAAGATTTCATTCTTTTTGGTGGCTGAGAAATATTCAGTTGTATATGTATATACCACTTCTTTATCCATTCATCAGTCCATGGACATTTGGGCTCTTTCCATAGTCTGGCTATTCTTTATAGTGCTGCTATAAACAATGGGGTGTATGTACCCCTTTTAATCTGTATTTTTGTATCCTTTGGGTAAATACCCAGTAGTTTCTGATTCATAGAGTGCTTCTATTTTTATTTTGAGGAACCTCCATACTGTTTTCCAGAGTGGCTGCACCAGTTTGCATCTCCACCAAAAGCGCAGGAGCAATTCCCTTTCCCTGCACCTTCACCAACACCTGTTGTTTCTTTTGTTTTTAACTTTAGCCATTCTGACAGGTGTGAGGTAGTGTCTCATTATGGTTTTGATTTCTATTTCCCTGGACATAAGTGACATTGAGCATCTTTTCACATATCTGTTAGCCATCTGTATGTATTCTTTGAAAAAATGTCTATTCATGTCTTCTGCCCATTTCTTATTTTGATTATTTGTTTTCTGGATGTTAAGTTTGATAAGTTATAGATTTTGGATACTAACCCTTTATCAGATATTTCATTTGCAAATGTCTTCTCCTATTCCATAGGCTACCTTTTAGTTTTGTTGGTTGTTTTCTTCACTGTACAGAAGGTTTGTATCTTGATGAAGTTCCAATAGTTCATTTTTGCTTTTGTTTCCCTTGCCTCTGGAGATGTGTCAAGTACAAAGTTGCTCTAAGGTCAAAGAGGTTTCTGCCTGTGTTCTCCTCTAGGATTTTGATGATTTCCTGTCTCACATTTAGGTCTTTGATTCATTTTGAATTTATTTTTGTGTATAATATGAGAAAGTGGTCCAGTTTTATTATTCTGCATGTTGCTGTCCCATTTTCCCGGCACCAAATGTTGAAGAGTCTTTTTCCACCAGTTATGCTTTCCTGATTTGTCTAAGATTAGTTGACCATTTAGTTGTGGGTCCATTTCTGGGTTTCCTATTCTGTTCTACTGATCTCTGTGTCTTTTCATGTGCCAGTACCATACTGTCTTGATAATTACAGTTTTGTAATATAGCTTGAAGTCTGGAATCATGATACCTCCAGCTTTGCTTTCCTTTTTCAGGATTACTTTGGCTATTTTGGATCTTATACAGTTTCATACAAATTTTAGGATTGTTTGGCTGGGTGAGTAAAAAATGAGGGGACTATTTTGATAGGGA